GATACTAAATAATCGGTATACGTAGTATATGTTACTACTTAACTAATTATTTAAGTATCATTCAAATTTTTGTCGTATGGTAAAAAGTACAAATAATATATACAATGAATAGGTTGTTTTTTGTTTTATCTTTAAGGATTTGATAACAAGTAATTTGTAAATTAATAAAAATTTAGTTAATTTGCGCAGTACATATAAAAAGAAAGGATCCAATCGATATTACAGAAATATCAATTGAAATCTTTAGTACGAAAGTTCAAATGATAGATGATTACGATTATTCCTTTGCAACGTTAACTTTACCGATTCAGCCGCATGAATTTATACGTCTGCTTATTTTATGTGCCTAAAAGATCAGTTTCAGATTTAATTGTTTATCGGTAGATTGAAATTTCTCGTTTTTCTTTCATGCATTAATATTACAAATTCAGGTAATAGTATTTATATTCGTATTATGAAGTTATTCTGTTAACGTGTGCTTATATTATTGATAAGCGATTCAATAAGGTGTCGTTAGTCAATTTCCTTAGATCTATATTTAATGACGTACAAATAAATTTAATAATCTTGTTACAAGCCAGTAACGAAACGGTATATTTAAGCATTAAGAATATATCGTGTTGTAGCTTACCTCCATTAAAGTAACTTTCATTAAAATAAGGATATAATACGATGTACTCGATAATATCTTGTTATATGAAATTTAATAAAACAACGATGTGTACAATTCTTTAGAAATTTAAAGCCTTTATGCTTAAGACCTTTTACACTTGAAAATCGATCCAACGATACATGTGATTTTAGGGTTATATGCAAACAAACAATCAACTAAATCTATTTATTTATCAAGGAAACAGATGAAGCGTTTGAATTCTTTTATTACGGAAGAAATATTACGCCTGCGCAATACGCACTTCCTTATACAACAATATCATCGTCAATTTTAACTTGCTTATATCGTCGTATCTTCGTCAAATTCATCGCCATTAGTCGCTTTACTTGTCACAGAGAAGTATATTAGAAAGTAGAGGCTTTTAACTACGTCCCTGAGTTTTACACGTCTTATCCTTCGGTTATGTAAATATCAGGTAGGTTCTAAGTTCAAAGATAGCGAACGAAAGTTTTAGTTTTAAGAAGAAGCGAGAGTAACAAACGAGAGTTGCAAACAGACAAAAAATTAAATGTAACTATGTATCGATAGAGACTTTATATTTTCTTTCCTTTCCACCTTAACGGCAAACATTTTTTATTCGAACGGTACAGGTAATTTATTTTTAGAGATTTCGATAAAAATTATTATCGTAAGCAAAAGCTATTTTAAAATTAATTGTAAAAGGAATTGTTCCATTTCTATAATGTAATATATGATTCGTTTCCAAGAATGTGCCAATACGTACCACGAAACGAACGACATTCGATAACTCGAAAAAGTCTACCAAAATTGTAAGACTCTTAAACATTTACGACATCTTTCTAACTTCGAACGTATTTCACCGGTAACTACGTAAATACTTGATTATTCCGCGATATTTAACATACGAGTCGTCCAGTTTCACAGGAACATGTTGATCATCTTCAATAAACACTTTTAATCCTAAACACGTCGTTTTTGTTATGAAACGTATGAAACGAAAATCTAAGTGCCGGGGAAAAAATTGCTTGCCTCGGTAAAGACGAAATCTAATCTGGAAGCGAACTTGATGAAAGATCGTGAAGTAAGTCAACGAACCCACGCAGTTGAAGTACCAAGTATCTCTTTGGCAAGCTACGTTCCTGGCTACTAGTCTATACGCATACACGCGTACACGCTACACGACGGAACTCACAGAGAAACGTTCTATTGGGATAGGTAGCGAAGCAGCTCTAGTTGGAGGAACATACAGTGAGCGAGGGAGGAAACTCGGAGCGGCGAACATGGACGAGGACGATGGCGGCGCGGCGGTTCGTAGCAGCAGGGAATACAAAAGGTGGCGGTGGTGGGAGTACTAGGTTGGTGGCTCTAACTCGATGGTAGGGAACGACGGAAAGCGGCGAATGAGGCGGG